CACACACACACACACACACACACACACACACACACACACTTTCTTCAAGTCATTGATAGGATAAGCAATAAAACAGCTTTGAATGTCTTTCTCTGTGCTGTTAATGAGTATTTATATCAAACTGATCACCCTCTTAGGATTATCTTACAGCATACAGTATATACATTTTCCTCTTTGTAGGGGTTTTGGATTTCTGGATTTTGAGCATACCTCATTTAATGTTTGGGTTGCATCTCTTATAGGTTATTTCTCATAAGAAAGTACTGTGTAAGAGCTTCACAGGTGAAAGCTACAAAAATAAATAAATACAATTGGTCACTTTTTTGACAGTCAAAGTCTGAAGTCTGAAGCAACTACAATCTAATAGTAAAGTGTGTAGTTGCAAAACTCTGTGTTGTTTTTTCTCACTTTGCACTGATTTTTGCACATATGCTGTGGAAACATTAAAAATTTGTTCTTAATTTGCCTGTGTTTCCTCTGGATCTCCTTCCCTAAGTTTAGCATTCCTGTGCTTTCAGAACCCACGCATAAGATACCAATTTGCACATAGACACAGGTATAAAAGCATAAAGCTCAACCCAGTAGGAAACATATAGCTGCATATAATTAAACTTTCAGGATCAAATTTTTGAAAATCTTGTCCAGCTCAAGAAAAAGCTGGACGTTTTGCACACTTGGATGTGCAAAAAGTGTGCAATCCCAATCCTATAAAAATCCACCAACATTTAAATGAACAACTTCAATATTGAAGACAGAGAAATAAAGTCTGTGTTCATGCAAAGCAAGCACAGTAATCTTTTGGTTGGTGTATTTAGGGTTATCTGTTACCTCCGTCTGTCTTGGGGGATGGCCATGGTGCTTGTATGATGCAGATAGAAGTCTGTGGGAAGCTCCCAAAGGTGTGGCTTAAACTCTGATGGCTGGTAAACTTGGAGGAACAAGTTGATTGCATCTTGTCTGTCAGCATCTGAAAGAGAGAGATGGAAACACGAATAGCTAAAAAAAAAAAACAACCCAAAAACTGTAAAACAAACTGTAAAGGTTATGATGATATAACTGGTTCATCAAGAGACGTGATTATACACGATCTGAACTCTCTTAGGCAAACTTTCCTGTCATTTCTTTAAGTAGTCTTCAGAAATATTTCTCCAGGGTTCTTGAAAGACATTCAAAGCGCCTCTCTTGCCAGAAGAGTTGCCAGTCATTTCCAATCCAGTTCTTGGGTAATTTGACATAGCTGAGCCTTTTCTTCCAATTTCTCTTACCTAGAAATAGCTTCTTGACAGCCAAACTTCCATAAAGACTGTTTCTGATGAGATTTCAGTGAACAGTAGATAGACAGACTGCACTCATCCTCAACTGTTCTAGGTAGCCATTGGTTGCTTTTTCAAAATGACTGAAAAAGCAGCCAATGGCAAAAGACAAACCTTGAAAGTCTTCGAAGCCTGGAAAACTACTGATGTAGATGACTTAAAAAAATATACTGCTTGAAAAAAAAAAGTCTTGAAGTCACTAATGCCCAGAGATGCTCAGGAAGAGGAAAGCCAAATAATGTGCATACATTAAATTGAATCTTTTTAATCATGTACCATTTTATATATTTAAACTTTTGAGTTTTGTGTCAACAGTGCCTTGTTTAAAAAAAACAAAAGAACAAGAAAAAATGTTAGTTTATAAATTACTGTGGTTCCTAATGCAGGGGAGTACAGTTCAAAAGTGAATGTGAAGCAAACTTAAGCCTCCTTTACCATGATGGCAAACTACACCAGCTCTTCACTGTGAGCAGCATTGAAAAGATTTAAGTTAATGAATCAACATCTAAGTAACGCTGACTTGTACATACATCATAGCAGTAAAAACTCTTGTAACAACTGCACTACAGCATTTTGGCTATGAGTGTGTGCTTAGATAATCTCTGTGAGCGTTTGTGTGCTCAGCATGTGGCACGTGCTTTGTACATTTGTCTGGTTTAGTGCCATTTAATTCACCCTCCCTAACTACAGCACGAAGCCACGTGCATGCTGCCCCAACAGTCACGTTAGGTAATTAGAAACTAAACTGGGTTTTATTACAGCCCACCACCAAGACTGTTCTCCAATTACGTTTTTTTCTCTGAGATTTATCTCGTGTATCACACATGATACGAGTTACTGGTGATCTTTGAAAATAATATACACGTGCAACCATTATGAATGAAAGGAAGGAGGAATATAATTTGACATCATGTCTGTTAATTGTCTTAATAAGCATATGAGGTCACACTGCATCTACCAATTAAAAGGCTGCACAGGATATGGAAGCTTACACTACATGGTTCTGTGTATAAAATTGATCTGTGATTCAAGGGGAAGCTGTTACAGTGCTTGACTATGATATAAAATTATATGTCATTTACCTCATAGGAATTAGCATTTTATAATTTTATTCTACTGTATTTATTTTAATTCCCCATATACATAATAAAAATATATACAACATACATATGCACATATGAGTGCCATTAATAGGAGAACTTATTATGGAAGGATTATGGTTTTAACATTTACCGGGTGTTCTTTTTTTAGAAATTACTGAGCAACACAAAGGTGGAATTACCCTTTTCCAATTTTGCAGAAACTAGTCTAAAAGGGCATGGAAAACATGACCACGGGAAAATCTGTGAAAATGGTTGTGCCCTTGTAAAGGGTCAAGTTGACAGAACAAACCAGCCAGTGCTCAGACTACAAAGCATTTAGGCTAATTTGTCCTTATATAGTCTTCTTAAGTGGCAACAAGTAGTTAATCATATTACCTGATTCAGGTCATGGGATTGTTCAATTTGCAGTTCATGAATCCCGTTCGAGTGTGATGGTCTCTGGCTGTCTGTGCTGCTGGATTATATGGGCTTCTTTTTTAAAATTCTTAATACACGCTACTCTCAGCAACAAACTACTGATTGAATTTCTCAAAACTAAATCAAGAGCAAAGCACCACAAACAAGGTCGATGTTGTAGGTCAAGTAGTGCAGTTCTGTTAATCAAGGTTTAAGACACAGTACACAGTCTTCGTCTTCACTCCTGGAACACTCGCTGGTGTACTGTGAAAACACCTTTGTAAACCCATTAAGATTTCTAGATACACTGATTGTAACCACGCACTAGGGTGTTATTTAAAATGATTAAAAATCGAAATTGCGGACATTGCAAAGCCACTTTTATCAGTAACTGCTGGGTAATTATGTCACGTCTACAAATTGGCTGCAATCAAAAAAATATCTGCAATTAACAATATTAGAAATCTCATCCCCAGTCATGCGCAGAAAAAAGGGGTTTAGCAAAGGTAAATGTGAAGTAACTGCCTTTTTTTTTCCTGAGGAATTTTGACCCACCTCTCTTTACCATGTTCCCACAGTTCATTGAGCTTTGCAGGCATTTATTTGTGTGCAGGTCTCTCAAGGTCTTGTCCCAGTATTTCAGCAGCGCTGATGTTCTGGACTGACACCTTGTTGCTGCAGTCTTTTAGCTACTGAATTGTATATTTGAAGCTGATCATTATCCTGTTGCATGTCCCAATTTTAGCCAAGCTTTAGCTGTCAGACAGATGTCCTCATATATGACTCTAGAATAGCTTAGTATGCAAAGGAGTTCATGTTTGGCTCAATGACTGTAAGGTGCCTCGGTCCTGCTGCTGCAAAACAGACCCAAATCTTCTCGCATCCACCATTGTGCTGACAGTTGGTATGAGGTGTTTAGATTTTGCCAAACATGGCATTATGGTCTCGTCTGTCCAAAACACATTGTTCCAAAAGTCTTGTGATTGGTGCAGATGCAACTTTGCAAACATAAGCCATTTTTGTTTTTTAGAGAAACAATACTTTTCCCCGACAACCCTTTCAAACAAGCCATGCCTGTTCATTTTCTTTTGAATTGAGATGTCATGAACTTTGATATTTAACATGCTAACATATGGCTTTACAGTCACCAATTCTTTGACTTGGTGCAGTTTCTCTGAGTCACACAGTCGCACAGTCTGGCTTAAAGGTGAATTTGTTAAGTTGTCTGTTGCTGGGAAGATTGGCAACTATCTTGAGTGATTTTCACTTGTGACCAAACTTTCTCACAAAATGTTTTGTGAGCCGATTCACATTTGTCCTATGTTCTGTTCAAGTAAAGGCAGAAATGTTTGCTTATATGTAATTATAGAGTGTCGTTTTCTTCATACTTCACATGAGTGTAAACTACACATGCATGCACAGGTTGAGCCCATTTCTATGGAAACCTGGAACATAACTAAGAGTAGATTCTGTTTAATACGGAGCATAGCTGAGGATAGAAGGAACTAGCGTATAACACACCTGAGAAAGCATTGCTGTAGTACCGTGACAGCGTTTGCATGATATCTTTGGAGTGCTGTGTCCAGGGTGCAATCTTGCGGTAAGTCTTGACCCTGTGCACGAGCTGAGAGCCCCCGTACTGCAGTGACAGAGTGTCTCCATGGTCTTCATACAACTCCTCAAACAACCTGAACAGCACAAAAGAAAAAATGTCATCAATTCGCAAGGGCAAATAAAACTGTGATTCATTTATTATTTTGGTGATGTGGACTTTTGGAGGATTATTTTTTGGGAAAAAAAAGGTGTAAAAAAAAAAAAGTAATTAAAAATACCGCAAATGATTGGGTCTGTATTTTGTGCTTGTTTCTTTGTATGTGTGCAACAGTGATTAACTACTAGAGAGTTATGAGTCATATTAAGTGGTGTTAATGTGCTGTTCTAACAGCTTTCACGTTGCTTGTAAGAACGCTTCAGTTCAAGCATGTGACAGATTCTTGTTCTCCTTGATACACTGACTGTAGCTCATGCTGTGTTCAGATGGAAAAAACTGAGCTTTAAGTGGCAGTTTCAAGTAAAAGTAGACAGAGACACACACTACTGACTAATGTTTGCGAATACTGAATTTAGAGCAGCAAACTTTGGAATAAAAGGTTGGAATAACTGCGTCTGCCAAAAGGATTCCAAATAAATGAAAAAGATAAAGTTTAGCATGGATTAGATTTTCAGGCAATTATATGAACTTTACCTCACGCAGTCAGTATCAAACTGGAGCTTGGGCTTGTCAATCATTCCCAGCGCGTAAAGCTGATAAGCCAGAGCGCACTTGCCCACCATGAACTGGGCAGTATTGGTCCGGTCAAGACAATCCACACAGTTGGTCCGCAACACACCAGTCTACACATCAAGCAACAAGACGAAAACAGCTGACTTTATAAACTACAGCCTATTAACTCAGTAGTAGTAATCATTATGATGATGACAAACAGGCAAGCCTTTTTAAAAAGTGACTACATTTTTACAATTGTGTGCAAAAAGCTGCAAAAGACCTACCTGCAGTCGCCCAGTGGATGTTATTTGTCCACCTACATCTCCCCACCTGTAAAAATGTTACTTAATTTACTGAAGTCAATAAACAAACGGAAACAAACCGAACACGTACATCACAATACTATTCTTCTGCAAGAACATTTTCTAATTTATTCCGGCTTCAGTATGATGAAACTGCCATGATAACTGTCATCACAGTGACTGTCACCATTACGAGAATGAACATAATGGAATGGGTGCAGACACAGCAAAGGCACCCTGACACAATGCACCCCCATCAGGAGTGCAAGTACAGAAGAAAATGTTCAGCAGACAAATTCTAATACCCAGAGATGAAAAGTGGAACTCATGTTGACATTTACACTGCTGTAGTACTTTCTGTGCAAAACCAAGCAAAGTTATACTGACCCCTAGGAAAAAAAAGTTACAGTATGTTTAAAATTTAGAAAAAAAGAGATTAATTCTTGGTTATTTTGTTAACGTGAAGTCAGAAAGAGGCAAACAACCAGAGTGCTAGTTGCTAATCGTTTTTTTTTTGTTACATGAATGTTAATAAACAGGACACCAATTTACTGATTAGTGAACTTGTTAGTAGGTACATATTGTGTTACTTGGGGCCAAGCTGAACCATCCAGTAGCTGGCCGTTGCTTTACACTTCACTGTGTAGACCTTGCTAGTACCAGTTTAGACCCTCTTTTGCTTTCAGAACTGCCTTAATTCTTCATGGTTTCATAGATTCAACAGGGTCATGGAAACATTCCTCAGAGATTTTGGTCAATATTGACATGATAGCGTCACATTGCTGCAGATCTGTCTGCGGCATATCCATGATGCAAATCTCCCACCACCAGTGTTGGGAAGGTTACTTTTAAAATGTATTCCACTACAGATTACAGAATACAAGCCCCAAAATGTAACGTATGAGAGTAACGTATTCTGAATACAATGGATTACTTTATATATTATCAAGCTTTTTACAACTACATGAATGTACTATTGCTGTGTGATTTATTACTATTACTGAAGGCTACACGCCATACCAGTACCAATTAGATTTTTAAATCTTAATATAAAATGAGTAACAGCAGGGTGGACATTAGGTAAGGCTGCACTTTTTGCAGCGAAAACTATTCGGCGTGTATATAAAGCAGGTCTGTGGCTCCGAACCGTAGTAAAGGGACCTCTGGCTAATACGTCGGGTTCCGCGTCAGGCTCGTAACCGATAACTAGTTTTACTTTGTTGTCTGGGTCAACTCTGCTAACGAGAGACAGAGAGAGGCGTTGAAAGGCTGCTCCAACAGAACTTCTTGTTTTGGAGGAAAACACGAACACAGTGTACAGTCGAGTCTTAATAGCTTACTTACAACTGGGCTACACTGCCCATGAGGCTACATTCTTTAGGGTTATGCCTGTAGCACTCTGCCTATTGCCTTCATATTAAATAATTTTTTGAACAATAATTAAAAAAACATATTTTGTCACGTCATTATGTGGGCTGCAAGTAGAGGTGACATGGGCCGCGAGATTGAGACACAGGCATTAGAGCCTCTTAATGTGTTTTGTTTGGGTTTCCAGTGTTGTGCCAAAAAGTGATTTCCAATATTTCCGTGTGTTTTTTATGTGTAATACCATTACGTATGTTGCTAAATAGACTTCGGTGAACAGGTATTGCAAAGGGGTTAAATACACAATTTTAAAAAAATTACCTGTTTCTCAATTATCTTTGTAGCTGTGTTATTGTACTTAATTATAATCAATCAGCTTCCTTTTGTCCACTTAAAATATGTTTACAGAACTATTTTTGCATTTGTTGCAATTTCAGCTGTCCTCTTGGCCAGAATACTCTTAAAAGAGACGTTTTTTAAAGCAAACAAGAATTTATTTTAACTCCATAAATAAAGGACACATAAAAGTCACTGCCAAAAAGTGATTGCGGCTTCTACCTTCTTACAGGAATGTTGTTTGTTGGTCAAGATGACTGGATATAATTCATGAGGGATATATTTGACATATGTTTCACATATTGTAGATCAACAAGTTATTTATAGCAGTTTAAATACAACCAATCAGTTTTTGGCAAATGCCAGAAATCAGTTTTTGGCAGACAATCACTTTTTGGCACAACACCGGCAATGCGTGGAATTACCAAAAATAGAGAGGGGACAGCCTAACATACGAAACAGGAAAAGACTGCCGTGTAATCCCATTATTTTAACGAAGTAACTGTATTTTCCTTATTCCATTTAAATTCTCTACCACTCTCATTCAACACTTTCTTTTTAAAAGGGAAAAACAGCAAATAAAGAAAATCACCCTTTGACGAAAGGCAGACTAAATTGTACAAAATCAAGCAGAAATCAATCAATGCAAAAAACCCCAGTAATTCTGAATTTCTCCTTGTGAGCTGTGGATATTTAAGAGGAAGTTTTAAAACACATTTTATCATCTCTGAATAAACTCCGTGACCCACTTTAAAATCAATCAGCAGGTGTAGCTAAAGTATGCATCAAAGTACAAAGTCTGAATGCAGCGAGATGGAAACTTCAGACAAACGTCTAAATGATCAGAACAAGGCAGCGTTATCAAGACTTTGTAAATATCTTCATTATCCATGACCCAATTCCTGCATGTGATGAATGCTACAGGTGTCATACCTGATTGCACAAACAAACAAAACACCTACCAGTGTATGTGTGTGCATGCATGTGTGTAGTTGGGAGCATGTGGCTGAGCGTATGAGTCCTTAAAGCAAAGAAAGTGTGATAGCTTACGTAATGCAAAAGAAAGGGTAATAAATATGTGCTCTGGCATGGTCGTTGTGTTATGTAACAGAATGCTAATGCTGAGTAAAAGCGATTAAATCATCCAGACAGTAGAAGAGCCAGGCACTATGTACATGGATGGCAATCTACTCAGCTCATTAGCAGAAATTTCAATGTAATACAACTGCCATCAGGCATAATTTCCATTAAGAATTCATATGTGGAAAGTTTCAAAATCAAGCAAGTGTCGATAAGTGTGATCATGAATATGGAAAATGACAAAACCTTAAATTTACAAAATTTGTGGAAAACATCCGATATATAAATCTAAAAAAAGACACTATTGCGGTTTAGTTTTCTGTAACCCGGTCATACTCAGATTCATTAAGCAGCTTCCATTTTACTTATTAGTTTGCTTCAAATAAAACTGAAACAGTAACAGATGTGTTTGTTTTGCACATGGGGCTGACTGAAAGTTTTCATTCTTGTCCAGCAGTGTGTGTTTCGGCCTTCTCTGTTTTAAAGGGGCAGAAAAAGAAGCAATCGAATAGGATTTAAAAAAAAAAAAAAAAGAAAAAGTCTCACCTTTCATCTGGTCTGAGAGTGTGACAGTAGAAGTCAGAGCGATTAATGAAGAAACCCGTTCGCTTGACCACGTTCTCTGCTATCATACTCAGACGGTCGAGAACATTGCACAACTTGCTGGGACAGAAAGAGAAAGATTGGAAATGTCATTTTAACTCGCTGAAGAATAGATCATTTTAAAAAATGGATGTGCCTGTAGAAGCCCATTCATCAAATTTTATATCCAAGTCCCTAGACTTTAACATCTCTATTCTTTGCTCCCAAAAGGGCTCAGGTTAAAATGTCAAGATCTCATATTAGTGTATCAGAAACAACGAGAAGGTCTGGAAATGAATAATGTCAGTATTTTAATCCAGAGAAGTTTCAGAGTATCCCAGATAGCTGCTTTGAGCTCTCTTTAACACGTCTGTCCGGACCTTCCCAAATTTCCTCTACAACAATGTGAGAGGAATTTCAAGCAGTTCTAAGAGAATTATAAAGTCAGATAGAAAATGTTTACTTCAAGTTATTGCTGCTAAATATTGGTTATACAAGCTACTAAATCACAGGATGTACTTAGTTTTTCACAGTGACTCTGATTTTCCTGATATACCACTTTCACAGGAATGAGGTGGACATGGGGGTCACAGTGATTTTGTTATTTGAGTGCTTACAGGCATACAAACTTGTCCAAAGGTTCAATTTTCTCTTTATGTAATGTGCTTACGTCACACCATGATATTTTTCCCCTCTTTCAAAGTGAGCTTCTTATTTTGATGGTAAAAACACAATAAACCTGCACCTTAAAGATATTCTGTGCACTAGTATTTGTCAATACCTCTTGGTGTATCGGGCCATGTCCCAAGCGATATAGTCTATGCAATGGGAGGGAGGGAGGAACTGATTCAAGTTGACCACAGCACGGAACAGCTCCTCACTCAGAATCTTCTCGTGTTTCCTTTTTTCACGCTTCTGTAGCACAACAAAGAGATGTACACATGTATGTGTGATTCTATCAAACGTCAACTTAAGTGTTACATTATGGTGGGCTTGATGTACAGTCACAATAGTATCTGAGTTCTTTGAAAGGTTTCCATTAGGGCTGTAGTCAGACATGTAACAGATTCTGTGTTTTCTTTTGAAGTATTAATCAACATCCGTTCATGTCTTTTACACAGTGACCTCAGAGAACACAAAGCTGCAAGATGCAATTTACAGGCATCGAGCAGAGTAGAATATATGTAATAGAAACCACATGATGCAGGCCAAGGACATCCCAGCCTACTAAAATCAACCTAAAAATGAAAATTAAATGTGAAAAAACATTTTAATTAAACAAAAACAAAAACACGACTTTCACAAGGAAAATAAATAATCAGAAAAAAAAGGGGGTTATGTTTTGTGTGTAAAATATTAAAACGAGCGGTCCACACACGCACACGGGTACTTTGATAAATATAGGATATACCTCTGGCACTAATTGGTATCAATTTGAAAGTCCTACATTGCTTTGTTCACGAATGATCCCATTCACAAACTTGGGTGTCCACGTCGCCTGACCTCTCACCTGCCTGGCAGGGTGATGATACCCAATGAGCCTTTTATGGCTGAGGGGCAAAAAAACCCAGTAAAACATTTAGAAATTTTGTCCAAAGTAATATTTAAAACATCTTTCCCCTGCCTTTTACTTCAGTTATGCCTGCACAAACTTACAGAACTTTGTGGCCTTAAGAACTGTTGGTCAACATCTAGCAGCCAACCAGATTGGTTTCCAAACTCACTAAGAAAAAAAATGATGGGCAACAACATCAAACTGCAAAATACAGCAAATTTGATGGTGTAAAATTTAAAAGTACCTTTGGCGAGCAAACATGGTGCAACAATATTACAGTGATTATAAATCTTGCCTCTAATTTTGTCGTAATCAGTAAGTGAAAAAAAAAAAAAAACAGAAAAAAAATCGAAGGAATTATTCTTTGTCAACTAAAATGCATGAACTCATAATCCTTCTGTGTGATCTGCAGTCACACTATCCATTAAGCTATTTCCACATGAACTCCACTGTAGCTTTATGACTGATCACCCAGGGTGATAATCAGCTTGGACGCATCATTTAGCAGCTCACATCGCCATTCAAACATCCAGCAGTGGCACCACAGCAACCAGTCAAATTACCAGCACATTTCCTCGACCATTCAGCAGAGCGTGTCATACAGGCAGACACGTATACACGCTCGGTCACACTTTCTGAGCACAGATGAGATGCTACAAGTACAGTACACGTGAACAAACACTCAGAACAGCAGACTTGTATTGTTCACAGGTATAAACAAGCTTTAATAAAAGGCCACAATAATGTTGAGGTGCAAAAGTGCAGTCGCAGATCACGAATGATAACATAAAACAGTCACACATGCACACTGACGTATGGGAGTGGGCTTTTCAGTGACGTATTAGTGACGTTAATGAACACTGTAATAATATGGGTGTATATTTTACCACAATGGTTTAATGGGTTTCATGTTTTTCTGTAAGGTTACAATCCAAATTATATATCTAAGGGTACAGCGTACAAGGTATCCTGAACAAGTCATTCACATGCTTTACCATGTGTGCCTTTACGCCTCCTTTCTTACATGCTGGGATGCATGCATTAGCCCTTGCCAAAATGATGCACATATAAAAGAGTTTGAAGGGCCAGCATGGCCCATGCCACCTCCATTAAGGGATAGATGGCAGTGGGTTTTATGGTTAAATGCCATTTCCTTCCTCTTTCTGTCTCTCTTGGATAATCTGGAGGGGGGTATTGTGTTAGCAGGGGATCCCCTGCTTTGCTCCCCGCAGTCTGCAAATTTCACATGGCTGTGGCTTGTGCACACCTCTGAGCTCTGTGATTCGTTCCTCATCTCACAGTTCCCCTTGTGAGTGACAACGTGAGCTGGAGACCCAATCTACGGAGTATATGGCCATGTGCCCAACATAAAGTAACCGTGATGCACACAAGGATACATCTGCAGCATGAAGCAAGATAAAGCATTTTATAATCTTCATAATTTATAATAAAACATAATAATCTTGCTTTTTTTTTTTTTTAAACTGACAGCAGTTTAAATGAATTATGTTCATTTTTCAGCAGAATAATATGGAAGGCAAATTGTGGTGAAAGCTAGGTGTGTCTTATCAAATGTGCTTGTGCGTGTTGGTATGCTTGTGTTTCCAGAACAATGCAGAAGCAGATCAATATTCAAGGCAGCTTTTCAACCGCTTGTAATCAGCAAGCACTCAGAAAGTCTCCTGTGACTAAACGGCTCCACAGCAACACCTAACGCACCAATATCAACAGAATGCTTGACAAATTACAGTCGTGCCCTGCACTATAATTTTAAATAGCTACCTCTTGAGTGATCACACAAGAAAGTTATTTGATCTAAAGATATGCTTGATGCATATATAATCCTTAGCCATTTTTGTCTCTTTCAGTTTTAATAAAAGTGCTGTACCGAGAGTATTGGCAGGGACTAGAAAGACAGGCCACATTTCTCTCACGTTAGCTTCTCTTCATTGGCTTATCTAATTTAAAATCCTTCTCCTCACTTACAAGGTCTTCAATAACCAGGTCGCATTTTATCTTAAAGGCCTCCTAGTACCATATCACCACAATAGAGCACTTTGCTGTCAGACTGTGGGCTTGCTCATGGGGAGGGATTGTTAAGGTTTTCTCTGTATTATTTTAAGCTGTTTACCGTACAATATAATGTGCCTTGAATTGACTGTTTTTGTGAATTGGGCTTATGTAAATAAAACAGATTTTACTGACTTTATTGAACTGAAATTTGATATACAGAAAATAAAATGTAGATAAATTAGCAGAAGACAACGTGAGCTGTGTATTTACGTATTTCCCTTTATTGCATTGTTTCTCTGAAAGCATTATGCTGCAGATGTGCCCTAAAGAAGGTGCAAAGTGCTAATTAACTGTAGCACTGGAAAAATTTAACTGTGAACTCTCTAGCCCTAGAATGGATTCACAGGTACGTTCAAATCTGCTATTAATTTAATAACTAAGACGTTCGAAGTCTGCATACTTGCATAACTGTGTGGAGATGGGATTTTATTTATATCACAAGAATTTATGTAAATAGTAAATAGCTTGTAAGTGATTTTATTACTTAATGACTGTATTTTTGTGTCATTAAACACATTTTGGAATACTTATTTCAGCACCTCCCTACCTTGACCAAGTTGAGGATGATGATGGGTGAGCCAAACCGCTGTAGCATCTGGTCAAAATGGAGGCCAGCTACATAGGCGTATGGGTCAGCTTGGTCCACTGCAAAATTAGACAGAAAAAAATATTTTAATGGTTAAATATTTAAGGGTCCCCACAAGAATATAACACAACTTTATTGACCTCAATATAAATTATTTTTCAAAACAATATTGCATATTGTCACAGCTGAGGTAAAAGTAGCAACAACACTGAGAGACCTACATCACCACCACCACCAAAGATCACTACAGTGGAACACTTGGTCTAGCTGCTATGAAAAAGAAGTTATCGGAGTCACTTGACTAAATGCTTAAATTCTTATCCATCACACATCACTATGATAGAGCCATCCGCTGTGTTGTGCCTGCATGACTGAGCATGCGTCAAGGCATGACATGATAAAGAGATCTGATAATAGAGATCTGATTAGGGCTGTGCGATATGAACAAAACACTCGACTTGCGTGAAGTGTTTCCAGCTGCGCGTCATGTACCTGGAGTCGAGTGTTTTAACAGATGCATGAAACTATACATTTTTAGACATAAGTTTTTAGCACCTGATGGCTCTTTTTTACTTCTCATCCGTAAATAATCTGCTCTTTCACGTGACTCAGTTTATTTTGAAAAGTCTCAACAGGATCTTGAGCTTTATTGTGAACGGTTTATGTGGAACATAAACAAGCGGTGTTACCGTCGTTGTTGCTAACCACAACGCATAAAAACAGGCGCTTGTCCGTCTGTAGTGTGGTTATATTAAATATAAGAGAAGAAGAGAACTTTAAGAATTAATATAGCCACTACAGTGACCATCAAAACGATGAAAAAAATATTACCGTAAACAGTTTATTTTGCAACACCACGAAACAAACAATAGCGTAAAATGAAACAATAGACGTTTTTATATATCGTCATCCGATATATATTGTGATATTGAGCAGCCCTAGATCTGATGATAACTTTAAAATAATTTTACTAAGACGTATTCCTGATATAGAGAGCAATACCTCTATGGAACCCTGGCATAACATCATGGAGTAAATCCAGGATTTACAAGAAGGGATACAAACAATTTAGACCAAGCCCAATTCTGCATGTGTTTTTAAAAATATTTCTGCTACATAAAGGGCTTAAGAAATGTATTAGATCAGCACCCAATGTTTGTTTCATGTCACAACCATAAATTAACAGTACTGGTAATTACCGAAATCATCTTTAATGTTTTTGTAACCGTTAATACACCTTTGTGTGCAAGCTCTTTAATTGAAATTATACTTTTCATGTCAAAATTTAAATATTGTTGTTATCCATTAATTTCCAAATTAACTGGTTTACAATTAAAAAACAGAAAATAATAAAGCACATAATTATTTTTTTGATTAAAATGTAAAAGTTCTTGATTGGATTTCACTCCAATGTTTATGTAGTCTTATTTGTAATAAAACAAGTATTCTTAACATTTTTTGTATCTATACTTTTCTTTTTGAGTTTAAAACTTTTCCACGTGACTATTTTAACAGACGACCTTTAACACCGCACTGAACCTTTGCATTTTCATTTTTCTATTAAATGTTCCTTTTAAAAAGCACATTTACAGCTTCTACTTGCCACTAATGCTCAACCCCACACCTGCACACGTTGCCAAATTGGACTAGTGCGGCTGCCAGAAAGGAGACTTAAGAAAATAGGTCAGATCGTGCTGCAGTTCATCCCACAGAGCTGCTTGTGTGTCAGAACTGATAAATTAAATGTCACCTTTTTCAGCTTCTCCCCAAAACCATTTAATCGTCATGTTTTCCACTGCTCACACCTCAAAGGATGATAGTTTATGTAAAGCGCTTGTGCACCTTGGGAGGGGAGTTTGGATAATGACATTGGTGACTTTCCTTCAGCAGTCAACTAAGGTCATCTCCTAAAGGATTCAATTATGCAATAATGAGTCTTGACATATCAGAGATGGGGCAAGGAGAGATGCATTGTGTAATATAGACGCTCTCTACTCTGCATGCACTCAGTCCAGTATGTCTCTTAGCTAAGTTTTTGACCTAGATTCAGCTACGACAATGGGCTTGGATATTTGTGATCCCTTTAAAATTTCAGCAGAAAAACAGAAAAAAATATCAACTGATTTCCACATAGGTCCTAAAAGTAAGTAAAAAGAACCCAACTAAACATATGTGACAAAAATGTCACATGTTGGTCATTTATTTATTAAGGAGATTGATCCAATACCCAAAAGTGCATTTTAAGCTCTTCAGACCACTTCAAGTATTCCAAGATTTGTTCTGTTTTTGATTAGAGCCAAGTCAATTTGATGCCCTAGGTAAAATTTAGATTATGGTCCAATCAATAAATGTGTGTATCAGCCTACCACAGAGAACATATTTGTTTTGACCAACATAAGTGACCTGGAGACGGACAGTTATTTAATACGAAAGGTTCCACAATAATAATAACCTATATTATTAAATAGAAACAAATAAAACTGATGTTTGAGTTTCATTTGTTGTACCATCAATGAAAGCAAGCTATACTGGCACACCAATAATTTATTTAAATAAAATTTTTCTATAAACATTTATGCACCAGTGAAGATTTCTTTCTCTCCAGTCAACAACAAAGCAACATTTTCCTCGTATTAAACATGGGCTAATGTGAGCAGGACAGCTTTTTAGTTTCACCTAACTCAAAATCAGGAAGGCTCAGGAAGCACAAAGATGTGAAATGTACAAAAATAAAGTCCAGCTGGAACGAATAATGAATAATTTAGTGATTTTAATTTTAAAATTTTGATCTTAAAGTGTTTTTAATTATTAAAAATGAAACCCCCAGTAATAGTAGACCTACTGGGAACAGGATTAAAGACTCAACAAACTAAACTACTAGTTTGCGTCAACCACTTAATTAGATGGCATATTACTTCTCCTCAGTGGAGGCAAAAATATGATGGAGGGGAAAAAGTATGCCATGCACTGAGAAAACTGTTAACACACGTAAACAGGTCAAATATTAAACTGATGGTGGAAGGGTTGGGGAAACATTTAGGAAATGTCAGATAAGGACCGTTTTGAAGGATCAAAGTGGAAGCAGGACGATGAGGGAATATGACACACGGAGGGATCTTAGGGACATGCTCAGTGTCTATCTTTCACAGGTAAATGTCACCTGAGGATGAATTAAAGGGCAAACCAAACGAAAAAAAGATTACAATCTAATACAGGCATTGTACACATGCAAACACCAGTCTATTCCTGTGTGTACACCCCCACACACAGAGCTGTCCTCACCGTCAGTCTCGGTACCTAATCACCTCCCTCTGGCCACGGCTTTGTGTTTTTATCCTGCTTATAATGAAATAGGACGGATACAAAGCTGAAGCCAAAAGGGGCCATCCTGCCTTCACAGTCTTTTTTTTTTTTTTTTATCTTTTGCCAATAGTTGAAAGGAATGGCCTCAGTATACTCTACATATATTCTCTTATTTTAATGTAGCTTTTCTTCGATGACTTATTTCTTCTGAAGTATCAAAAGACAAAAATAATACATATACAGTTCACCACATGTTACATATTTCAGCCTACAACAAAAGCTGCTGATGCTGAAGTGTAAAGAAGAAGTCTTACATCGAATTGGAGGTTTTGGCATCATGGTGGAAATGTCCTGGGACCAGTAGAGTGGGACGGAGCCTCGCACCTGGACATATGAGGAGTAACTCCCTGCTGTGAAAGACATAACTGAGGCATCATGGACGACCTGTTCAGTCTCTACCTCATTAGCCACATCCCCCTGAAAAAAACAAAATAAAACAAAAAATGAGAAAAGCAAAAAAGAAATGATAAACTTCGGCATGATTGGGAAACCCAAGAACATGTCTTTAGAGAACATAAAACAAGGCTCAAAGCTTTACACAGTGCTGTAGTTTATCATAAGATATCAAAGTGTTTCTTCACCTTTCACATGGCAAACATTTCAAAACTGAACGTACAACTTACGTGTATATATTATATAAACACTCCCACTGCACTTTATGTATGTATATGTACATATGAAAAAAATAATTTGAGTTTATTTCCTGTGTATAACAACCATTTTACCAGTAACAGAAATTACTGGTTTTTTGGGCTTTTTAAAAAGTTAAATTATTTTTCCATTTCTATTGCTATTTTTTTATAATATAGCTCTAATTCACTTCTTTTTTCACTGACTCTTGTGCTGCTGTATCATGTGAATTTCCCCACTATGGGATTAACATAGTCTATGTCTATGTTCTTCATCTAACATTCTAATATAAGACTTCTAACATTCGGTCTGCAATTCCCTTCCTCATTCTCAGTTTTCCTACTACAGTCATGTGAACAGTAAATACTAGAAATTGTTGGGGGATTTTTTTGTTACATATTTTGTTACATATCTGGGCAAGAAAACTCTTCATCTTCTTTACCTACAGAAAAAAAGGATATAACTGAACAACATCCCATCTCAAAGACACTCACTCCCATTCCAAAAAGAGAAAGTGTGTCCAATTAACCCCCTGTGATTAACCTGAGTCATCTCAATCTGTTTTCTGGCCCTGATGCCACCCTCTACTATCTGTTCCTCCGAGTTACCCTGGTAACTTCTGTACCTCACAGTTGGCTCCCCTTTTGAGGAAACGGGTGCCAGCAAATTTGCTGGAGCGCCTGGCAATCAGGGTGATGTGAACCGGTCGGCCGTAGATCAGAAGTTCTGTAGGTGGTCGGTAAAGGAAAAATAATAATAATACCAATATAGACCTAACAGCCTAACAATGACCTGTGGAAACAAACACATATTATTAGTAAAATGTAAAGAAAAATCCTTTTTAAAATTGTATTTCATTCATAGCAGTCATGCTTTGACATTAGCTCTTAATGATGACAGTTTCACTTGTAGTCAGAATATGAACCTGGGAAATATATTTATTTCCGATTCATCCCACCTCTACCAATATTAAGAAACCTTACTTATAGCTCGTGATTGAACCATTCCACATCTTTTTTAGTGCATTTCTGTGTCTTCCCATCTGCTAAAAGGTTTTGCATATTTCCTATCTGGTGAGTCTCTTCTTGTTGCACCCAGTGGCCCTTTCATCCACTCAGAAAAGAGGACTGAATGCCAAACAATTTCCAGGAATTTGATAAACTCAAAACACCCACACACTGCCACAGCAGCAGCAGGCTGCCTAAAGAGGGAGACAACAGCAACAGGCCTGATTGCATATTAAGTTATTGCACTTCTGTGTTTATCTGCAGAAGACTCACAGAACGTGGCTAAAGACAAAAAACAAGATAAATCTGGTTTGAAAGTATTTGTATATTGAACATCCATTAACGTTATTAATATTGGCTGAACAAAAATAAGGAAAGATTGCTTAACGAGACACAATGGTGAATGACTAAAACTTGAAAACTGAACCTGAGGCTGACTTTTACTCCCATAAATCAGAGGTAATCAAGTGCAAAGTCCCTCTGCAGCAGTTACCCATGCATCAATAACACAAAAAATAAATGAATAAAAAGAAATCCAGGAGAATTTATTCATGGAGAGAAAATTTGCTGGTGTGTACTCAAAACTTAAAAGAAAATGATACTAAAGGACTGAAGCTCATAAACAAACCAAAAAAAAGAAAAGTATTCATAATTCATACAAAACACAGGCACGTCTCCAGAAAGAAGCACGTGTAACTCATCTGTTTAATATGCACAGTGTTGTTTCTCCCTGCAGATAACAGCCCGAGCACTTCTGAAAGTGCCCGTGTATGCATACCTGATACGCTCTGATATTTGCTTTGTTAAATCCCTAAAAACCAAATAATTGCTTGTGCAGTTCTGTGATGAATCACACAGTGTGATCCACGTGATCTGGTGGGGGCTGAGCACAGTTCAACAAGTGGTGCTGCGAATGAGAGATGAGAAGTATCGACAAAGGATAACAATGTGAGAGTCTTCTGTGGTGTTGGGTGTAGTTTCACACATGGAGTAATCAGTTATTCACTTAATTTTCAAATAAGCAATCCTTTACCGTTAAAAATAAATAAAAATAACAGCAGTTCCCTGTTCTTTTTGCTGTGACAAAAAGGGAAAAAAAGAAAATCAAAGACACAGACTCCCTGGCATGCAGCTGCATCTATGTGGTTGGTTAAAATGATCAGTGCTGACAGATGCATCCCATCAAAGTCTCAACATGGCACTAACTTTATTACTTAAAAGAATGCAGTCCCCAACCTTTTTTGCACCACGGACCAGATCAATGTCAGACAATATTTTCACGGACCGACCTTTAAAGTGTCACGGATAAATACAACAAAATAAAATGATACGACCAAGACAAAAACGGTGGTATTTTGTAAATACAATAATAAGCGCAAATTCACGGTGTAATTGTGTAACTTTATTAGCAGCGTCCTCTTGAAATGTGCCAACAACATTGAGTAACATCCTCCTCTCTGCCCCTTAATGCTCTCTGGTTACTATGGTAATGGTAATATAACGCAAAAATATTCCTTTCAAAATAAGACACACAACCACAACACGGGAAAAAACCCAGGGAAACCTAGTTAACAATAAAAACCCTGAAAACCATAAATTTCACACCCGAGCCTCAACTGTCACGGCCCGGTACCAAATGACTCACGGACCGGTACGGGTCTATGGCCCGGGGGTTGGGGACCGCTGCACTAAAGGTACTAACCTTGAGGATATTCTTTTATGGTTTCCATAAAAAGCATAGCAAGTGTGTCATGGCAATTAAAAAGGAAACACTAAATAATTCTATAAACAGCTGATGCTCAAAGGATACTGGACTGGCCACAAAATCCATGGATTATATACATAAGCCAGTCATGATGCACTATGTCCTTGACTCGCTCCAGGAGCTTCCCGTTCCACACATATTTGTAGTAAGGCTCGTTGTAAAGGCCATAAACCACTGTAGAGAGAAAAAAAGAAGAAGACTGAAGCATTTTTCTGGACTGGTATCAGTCACGCTTATCAGACCATAAAGATCATATTTAGTGATAGTTATATAACTGATTAATTTTATCTACTGGTATACTACAAAATATGTCATAAATGGCACGAATCCTGTGTCAAAGAATATAAAAGTATTTCCCACATAGAGTATCTGTGACTTTAAAGGTTTAATGGTATGTTAGGTTTTAATGTAGCCACCTTAAGTTGCTGTGTCTCACTGCATTTGGACTTGTATTCAATAACTGGAAAGTATATTCTCTTGGGTTAAGATCAGCTGACTGATTTGTCCATTGAAGAATATCCTATTTCTTTGGCTTGAGAAACTCTCAGCAATATACTTTTTTGATCATTAACCATTTGCAGTCTGATCAGTTTTGCAGCATGTGTCTGAATCTGAGCAGAGAGTAAAACCCTGTACAATTCACAATTTATTCTCCCACTTCTATCAGCAGTCACACACTACCAATAAATAATAGTAATGCTGTTTCACTAGCAATCATATATGCAAATTCCATATATTTTGTGGTTTTACCTCTGTACACTACCACAGCATTTTTGAATAAATAAATAACAAATTATGGACCCAACTGTATATAATTCAGGTACAACATGTATTCCCTCTCCAGATTGAAATCTTAGTTTTGTGTCTCCCAATGAGCTCCTCCCCAGCCAATACAATGAAGAAAAGAAATGAAAGGAATATAGATAAACTCCTCTCACCTTTTGTAGGCAAACCCTCATCTTCAAAGATGTCAAAGCTGTCCTGCTTGCTCTGTGTGTGTACCTCTTCCTCAGTAGAGGAAGCTGCTGAAGACCATTGTTCATAAGGTCTCTGCAGCAAAGTCAGGTTGTACTGCAGTGAGTGGCTCAGGTCATAGCTGTAACTAAAGAGCATAAAAGCAAAGTCATATGAATCAAGTACAACCTGTGCTGCGCACCATTATTACACCAAGCAATACTTTCTACACTCACAGAAATTCTTTTCCCCCCACATATTAGTAAAACCATAATGCAATGCAAATTTATAACATAAACACAATGTTTTACATATCTTTCGGCAGTTATGTTGGTGTTTTAAAATACTATATAATCAGATGAGTGATTAGCAAATCACTCATTTCAAACCTCTGAGATAATTTTCCTCACTGGAAAGGGTTTTTTCCCCTCTTATCATCTTTAATACTGCAAAAACTGTTAGAAAATGATTCATATTATCAAATTAAATCTCCAGGCCATAGCCAGAGTTCCTTTCCCAACCAAGGCCACAAGGTCAAGAAATGCTTTTTAGTTGTTCCTAGCCTTCAAGCTGACCAGGGCATCGGTACACGTGTTTAGTCTGGTGTGATGCGATATTGTAAAATTCAAAGGGCACTTGTACTAAATAAGCCTAGAGGGAATGTGCTGAAAGCCCCCTTGATAACAGCATTTATAATCTGACGTAATTTGTGCATATACAAGTTACTGTATCCTTCTAATAGTGAGAGTTTGGAATAACAAACTGTCTTACCTGAAGTAGAAGTTGCTGGAAAGGTCCACATTCTGAAAGATCCTGAGATACCTGTCAGAAGAAATCTATTTTTAAAAACATTTTTAATTTGCACATCCAGTGTAACAGCTATCATTGCATCTACTGCACTCAGGTACTCCTGAACCGAAATGCACAGCAATAGCAAAAACAGTGGTTAACTTGGACAGAGCCTCAAAATAACAACCAAATAAATGTTTGGGTGTATTTCAAGATGGCTACTAAGCAACAAGACTTGAATTGCTGCACTAGAAAGTTAAACTAATGAATCAAAGCGAACAAATAGTTACAACTTGGCAAGTGGTGACCATACTAGCATATGATATATATAGTATATATAATAATGGGAATGCTATTATTATACTATATAACAATGCACTCATCAATATTTCTTCAGCTTTGAGAGATTCTTCCTCTTTTGTCATACTTTCCACTGTTTTATACAATTTGGGGATTTGGGGTGGTTTATAAATACCTGATACACCTTTTCCTCAGTCAAGTGGCCAAATAATGTTTTCGCACTAAAATTGTGTACATGTGTGAAATCATGGGGGGGTTTTTTTTCAAGCCACTATTAGAAAAGCTTCAGTCCTTGTCCACTGGTAGTGGATGAGTCAGCCTTTGTGTTTTGTTTTGTGGGGTTTTTTGTTGTTGTTTTTTTCCTATTTTGGCACATTCTGTATGACAACACTATTTTTGGCCAGACTACAATTGTGGGTGTGAGCAGAAGAGAGTAAGCGTTTTGTTGTTGTTGTTGTTGTTTTTTGCTACAAATGCATTTCAAGATATTTTATTATTTCTGAAAATTTCCATACTCAAAATTAATAAAATCATACAGTAATGTACTTAAATAGAGTGGCCTCAAGGTAATAAATGGGAGACAGAGTAACACAATACCTTGCTTCATCGGGGTGTGTAACTCTGACTGAGTCATTGGGAATGTAGATCATAGTGGTGTCTTCAATTTTGTAGATGGAGTGGCCCCCAATATCAGCCATCTTTCTGCGCTTCGTGATCAACACGATGTAGTACCCCTCTAGGAAACGCACAAATCCTGGCAAAAAGACGACAAGTTTTAAATCTTTTACAACAATCTCATCAAATGGAATTTCCTTTCCAGCAACATGTAGTGTGGCTCAAAACAAGTTGATTTGTAGGTCAACTTTATTGTTGCCAGCAAATCCGCTACAGTTTTGACAGGACAAACAAGTGAATAGCTCCACTTGCGGAGGTGGATAGTGAATGTATGTGTGTCATATTTGACAATATTAACCATGTAATTTGCTCCATTTACGCTTTGAAATTTTGACCCAGAAAACATCATGCAAACACAGTCAATGATTTGCTTTCAGCATCATACGAGCTATTTTTCCATCTGTGACATTTAGAAAATAATGAGTATGTTTTTGTGTATGTTTTTAATAATATCTTACAAAGATAAACACAGTTTATGTAAGTGTGTCTGCTAGAAATATACCTCCCCTTCATTATAAAACTATTACTAGAACTAATTTGTTAATGGATGAATTGAGGATCACAACACAGACACACGGCCAAGAGTGCTACTCAGCCCTCAAGAACAGTTGTATAATGTCTCCTGCGGTTTCAGAAGGATTTTTCAAAAACAAGAGACACCATCTTCCACCTAACCTGGAGCTTTAAAGATAAATTTTTAATATTTTTAGTAGCTTTATGTAGCTAGAACAGTGGCGAGAAGACAGGAAAGCTAAAAAATATTTTCAGGTATAAACAACACCGGCTGCTGCCCTGCTAAAATCAAACATCTTATACAAATTCCTACTCTTATTCCACATATTTACAAAGAGTAAAACTGATAAAGGAAAATATGGCACAATAGCACTGATAGCAGTCAAAGATATATATTTATTTGTATATGACATTGTGATGCATAAAGTCATAATTTCACTATGTAAATATTTTGATTAATTAGTGTTATTTAACTTAATTGGATATCAATTTATTTTTTTCAGTTTATACAGTTCTTACAGTGGCTTGCTAAAGTATTCGGGCCCATTGAACTTTCCCACATTTTGTCACATTGCAGCCACAAACATGAATCAATTTTATTGGAATTCCACATGAAAGACCAATACAAAGTGGTGTACAGGTGAGAAGTGGAAAGAAAATCATACATGATTCCAAACATTTTTTACAAATAAATATCTGAAATGTGGGGTGTGCGTAATTATTCAGCCCCCTTTTAGGGTGTGTCTCTACTAGCTTTGCACATCTAGAGACTGAAATCCTTGCCCATTCTTCTTTGCAAAACAGCTCCAGCTCAGTCAGATTAGATGGACAGCGTTTGTGAACAGCAGTTTTCAGATCTTGCCACAGATTCTCGATTAGATTTAGACACCAGACAGGTCAGGGATAAAGTTATTGAGAAATTTAAAGCAGGCTTAGGCTACAAAAAGATTTCCCAAGCCTTGAACATCCCACGGAGCACTGTTCAAGCAATCATTCAGAAATGGAAGGAGTATGGCACAACTGTAAACCTACCAAGACAAGGTGGAATTCCAATAAAAGTGATTCATGTTTGTGGCTGTAATGTGACAAAATGTGGAAAAGTTCAAGGGGGCAAGCCACTGTATATTGAGAATCCCACTGAACAGTTTCCCACTTCACTTGTAGTGTAACAGATTTCTTCTCACTTGAAGACAAACACAACCTGAGCTAAAATCTAAAATAACTGATCAATGACAAATGATAACCAACAATGGCAAATGATGCCGCCTAAGTAGTGGTATGTAATTAGTTATATGATTAGTTAGTGAATTTGTCACAAGTTAATCAACATTAGCTAACTTTAATAATTTGTTACTTCAAACTAGAAAGTGGCCTGACATCCAAGTTGGGTGAAAAAAAAAAAATGTGTTGAATTGGTAAGTGCAATATACATACTACACATATACACACACACACACTAAGGACTCTTAAAGTTATACTTTGAAGTGGCTTGTACTTAATCTGCAAAACGCTGCAGTTGAAGTTAACCAAAAATATTCCGTTTCATAAACTAAGCAGGTAAAACCTTTGAAATAAGAAGTTCTGTTTCACTCATGAACATTCACGTGACAAATTCAAAGTAATTGTGTGCTAGTGTGTCTACATTATCAAAGGTTTTTGTATTTTTTTCTGCATGATGACTGAGAAGCAATAACCCTGTGTAAGATTAAATAACACTTATGAGTTCCTGTATGAGTATACCGGTACTGTCCTTTTTCCTGGAGGAGATGGGTCAGACTGACAAAACCTGCGAATAAAAAAAAATACTTAGGCTAATCATATTCATTTTGTACTGTAATAAGAAAGCTACCGGGCAAAAGGCCTCTTAGAATACACCTTGTACCCTACATGGCTACATCACACTTTTATTACATAATAGCAAAATGATGGCTTGTGAACAAAGATGTCATTGGGGTTGGGGGTTGGCGGAGTATCTATATTATTCAAGCAGACGACAAACAACTGTCTGTGTCAGGGTGACCGACTAACCTGCTGTGGAAATGTCCACAGAACTACTTTGTTGAAGTTGGCAGCAATTATACCCTCAAGTCTTTTTGAATATGATGCTACAAGTTTAGCACACTTATGTTTGGGTTGTTTCTCCCATTCTTCTTTGCAAAACCTCTCACGGTCCAGGTTGAGCATCAATGCACAGTCATTTTCAGATCTCTCGTTCATCTTTCCCTCCACCCTGACTGCAGCAAAACACCCCCACAGCACCACCATGGCTAACTGTAGGGATGGTATTGGGCAGGTGATGAGTGGTGCCTGGTTTCCTCCAGACATGACGCTCAATCTTTGTTTCATTGGACTACATAATTTTGTTTCTCACAGTCTGAGAGTTCTTCAAGTGCCTTTTGGCAAAATCCAGGTGGGCTGTCATGTGTCTTTCACTGAAGAGTGGCTTCTGTCTAGCCACTCAACCACACAGATCTGACTGGTCTGACTGTCTTTCTGGAAGGTTCTCCTCTCTCCACAGAGAAATGCTGGAGCTCTGTCAGAGTGACCACCAGGTTATTGATGACCTCCTTGAGTAAGGCCCTTTTACCCTGATCACTCAGACTGGCCGGGCAGTAAGCTCTAGGAAGAGTCCTCCAAACCTCTTCCATATATAATGATGGAGGGCACGGTGCTCACTGCGACCTTCAATGCTGCAGCAATGTTTCTGTACACTTCCCCAGGTCTGTGCCTCGATAAACTCTTGACTCAGATGTCAGACAATTTCTTGGACCTTGTGGCTTGTTTTGTGCTCTGACATTGTCAGCCATTTGGACCTTATATAGACAGGTGTGTGACTTTCTAAATAATGTCCAGTTAATTGAATTTAAGTGGACTCCAATCAAAATGTAGAAACATCTGACAGATGATCAGGGAAAACATGATGATTGTGATGGCAAAGAGTGAATATTTATATGCATTCTATATTTTTGCTTTTTGTTTTATTTTATTTTTTTCCCAATTGCAAGAGTTTCAAACAAACTTATTTTACTTTGTCATTATGGGTACAATGATATGATGGTATTTGAGGTGAAAAATGATGATCGATAGCTAGCTCGCTAGGTAGTTTATTTGGAACAAAAATTAAAAATAAAAAACTGCTTATAAGGGAAAAAAAAAGTCAGTTTAGGATTGTAATCAGGTCTTTAGGGCAATGTACAAAACACAGATGTGCTTTTACTGTCTCAGATAGTTGAAGTAAAATATCCATCCAACCATCCATCCATTCGCTTCCGCTTATCCTTTCCAGGGTTGTGGGGGGTGCTGGAGCCTATCCCAGCTGTCATAGGGCGAGAGGCGGGGTACACCCTGGACAGGTCGCCAGTCTGCCGCAGGGCTAACACACAGAGACACAGACAACCATTCGTACTCACAGATTCACACCTATGGGCAATTTAGATTGACCAATTAACCTATCCCCACTACTGCATGTTTTTGCACTGTGGGAGGAAGCCAGAGTACCCAGGGAGAACCCACGCAAACATGGGGAGAACCCACGCAAACACGGGGAGAACATGCAAACTCCACACAGAAAGCCCACGGCCTGATGGTGGAATTAAGCTCAGGACCTTCTTTCTGTGGTTTTTCATTTTTGTACCCAATTAAACATTCATGAAGGTGTTAAAGAGTTAGTAGTGGTCAGTAACACAATCAAGTGTTGCATAATTCTATTTTATCTTTTTAAACATAGCCACTATTGAAAAAATTGCAAATTAATAACATTTGGGGGCCGGATCTTTTTGTACAACGTGTTACACATGTTAAAAAACATAATGGCAGAAAACACGTGAAAAAGCTGTGAACTATTACAGTGGTTTGCAAAAGACTCCCAGGTGTTCTTTTATTTTGCAGTAATAATGGAAAAACTAGGCCAACATACCCAACTGTAGACTTTGGAGATGAGGTAGATTCTCACATTATTCTGAACTGCAATGACTGTTGCTTTGCCATTGAGTGGAGGAAATGTACTCACCCACAATGCCAAAAGCTGAGACAGTCCTGGACAGGCCAGAGGAACCCTTCTGACTAATCTTAGTCCGGTTGCCCAGGTCCAGGCGGCCCAGCAACTCCCTTACCTCTTGCTGGTTATACACATGCTGGAAACACACACATGCACGTATGTACGGTATTAAATACACATTAGATGAAGTGTTTATAAAGTTTAGTTTATTAATTAGCCACATAATCCTATCTGATTTCCATCTAAAAATCAACACTAAAATATATAAAGCTGTGTTCTGACAAAAGTGACTTAAATGTGCTGCTTGCGGGTGACTAATGGCTTCAGTCAGAACTATTAAGACTTCTTTATTTTCTGTGCAATAGCAGGTAAATGAATAACAGTCCCTGTTTAATCAATGCCCAAAATTTCTACAAAAGGGATTAGATTGACTGCCAGTGAGGCAATTAGTCTGAAAATAGATCGGCTGCTTTCTGCATTGGTTCTGAAATGTTAAATGACTAAAGAGTAGCTTTGCGTGCATTTCATCTACAAAAAAACCCCCATCTCATTTACATAATAAGCTTTACAATTGGCACAGACCTCAAAGAGAAACGTAGTAATGTACTGTATGCTACTGCATTTGTTTTAAGTGCATGATTCTATAGATTGCAATAATTCTCATTCTGTTATCTTGTGGGGAAAAAATAAATTTAGGACTTCTATCAAAGTCTTCTATTCCACTGTCTTCACTTCTTATGTAAAAACTAAAAGACGAGGGAGTATTTCTAGCTTTAAAACCTCCCTAGCAACTCATTAAATTATCCATGCATCCAAGTACAATACTACACAATGCCAATAAAATTGAAAACACACAGTTTTCTGATGTCATTTTAATATCTTTTGGAATGAGACTGTTGGGTGATGAATATTTATTAATGGATGCTTCATAATAATTGCATCAGAAGGATAATTACCCACAACACAAACAAACAAATCAAAAACCAGCTCATAGATCCTGGTAATAAGAAAAAGGTGTGAACGCAGCCAAACTCTCATCAGCAGCACAAGTCACATCAGCTGAGTGATTGCACAATTTCCCCCTTAGGCATGTTTCTTGTGTATTACATAAGAATATACATTAAAAATTAACTCGTGGAAAGTCGTCACTTACCTTATCGTCAATTATAACGAGGTCCTTGGGTTCTGTGCGGTCAATCTTTAGGACTCGATGTTTGGTCTGTGCATGATTGCTCCCAACCAAAAAATACCTCTGAAAATAAAATGACAAGTCAAGTGAGTGCTGCAATGCATTTGGAGCCTATTATCAGAAGAGTCTTTGCAACCTGAACCTTTCACAGCTGCATGTGGTGATAAATGCATAGAGGGAATCTTGCATACAGTCTTCTAACTTTGTGGACTGCAGCTTTGTCCTGGATGATGTTGACTTGGGACCAATTCAGACTTCAACCAAGAGCAGATATGTATTTAATAGACATGGAATCAATCCAATGACAAGTCAGATTCCTGCATTGCAGCACCACTGTTGAAGTCAAACTTGAATTTCTTTTTTCCTATAATAAAACATTTTATTTCCACAGTCCGAGTAACAATCAGTGTGTCTGAAATTTGTGAAATTACACTCAAGTATGTATTCAACTAAAGGCGATATCTTAAAAACACAGAATGAAATAAGAGTGCATACAGTGCAGAGCACATGCAGGCACAGCACATATTTCATCACAAGTTACATTTTTACAATGTTCTTTTTGTCAAGATGTGTGTCTTCCTTGCATCTTTCTTTCTTTTAGGTCATTACTCTTCTCATTCAGGGTTGCAAAATGGCCCAAAATTTTCAGTCCACTAAAGAGTGTTAAATTGGAACATCCTGTATCAGCACACTCAGCAACCATTAGAGCATTTTTTTCCCCGTTCCACCTTTTCCAGTATCTAATTTAACCCTCTTTGTCTGTAACAGAAAGCCTGCACGTGCACTGTTCAGCAGAGGTTCAATAAGAAATTATAAATCAAATAAGACAAATGTTTACTTGCCTTAGTGTCTAAATATCTGCAGCAAATGGGAACAGCAAACCGCAACCCAGTTTAAGCACACATTTAAACCAAGCATGATCACAGCTGGTGAAATGCAGAGACAATTGGAAACATGATACTATTAGAATACGCAGCAAAGAAAGTAGCATAGACACTCTACCTCTCAAGGACATACATCATATATTTAAAAAAAAAAAAAAAAAGCTAAAGAAAACTAATTTTAACTGCCAAAATCTAATTCACCAATTAAACGTCCAGATAATTATCACACACATGCTCTTTACTGACCTCATGGATGTCAGGTCCTGAGGTTTCATATAGTCACCTGCAGCTTTTGCTGCCATCTAGTGTACATGTAGCGTGTACACTAGTGTCCCAAACATTTTCCCAGATCAACTATAGAACTCTTGAACCAAAGACTAGAGAGCACTTTAAAAAAAAAAAAAAGGTAATAGGTTTTGGCTGTCTTAAATGAACAGTTGTGCCACAGTGTCGTTATCATGGTACTTCAAAGACAGTGATTGTCCTGAATATATATCAAGTTTGTGACATTTATGTATTAGGCACAAAAATTGAGCAATATCATTTTATGAACCTTTGAGCATTTCCCCATTAAGCACATATGTCTTAAGTATGGTCTTGTCTGAAAGCCTTCAGCCACCCCTTATTTGTTTTCCTTCTAAGCAGATGAAAACATGTTGTAATTTTTAAAAATCTTCTTGAGCAATAGTTCTCCAGGTTTTAATGTACAAATTAAAGTTCTTCTCTAGACATCAGCTGCTTTTTCACTCATTTTCAGTCTATTTTCTGGAGATTTTTTTTGTCTGTTAAGCCACTTGACCTATGAATCATTCAAGCATAGAAAAAGCACCTAACTCAAGGAATGAATTATTTACATATAACAGACAACTTAGTAAAGAGCCCATTTTAAATTGTATCTTTAGGCACATCAATACTGTTGCATTCTGTCACAAAACACACAATTTATTTCAATTTCTTTAACCAAACCTTGAAAAAATGCAAAATATAAGATAGTATTTTATTCCAGTCAAGCTATTTTTGCACAAACAACATGATTGCTAAAGAGCTGTGCAGTGTGGCTTAAAATAATTGAGGAAACTGAACAAAAGAAGAACTGACAGACCTAAAAAATATCTACAGCAGAAGACTATATCTGAAAGTTGCGTCCTTAAGAAACAGGGGGGGGGGGAATCCCATAAACACCTGACACACTCACTTGACCCTATATAGAAAACGCACACAACTGAACACCATCAGTCATAAATAGGCCTCGTCAAAAAGACCGGACCTCAACACTACTGAAGCGGCGTGCACAGCACAACAACACGACACAACAAAAGACAACCACCATCTAAAGAGTTTTGAATGTACTATTCCTGAAAACTCCTTAAGGAAGCTTAGCAAAATGGAGAAACGGCGCAGTTTAAAGAACTGTCATCGCGTGTAGTTGTAAACTGCCCAGGTGAATTGGACTTTATGAAGAAATGGTGACATTAAGGGCTCATGTAAAGACTTACTGCTCTGGTCTCGTACAGAACCAGTCGCTGGATCCCACCGATGATAGCCGCTGATTGAGGCATTTTCTATTCTTGAATTGTTCAACAGTCACAGTCTGGAAGAGGCTACAGAGGAGCTACAAAGCGAAAGTGAAAAGAAATGAATGTTGTTACATTCATTTCTTCACATTATAAGACACAAAATGACGAGCCAGCATATTTAACAAATGTGTTCATGTATATAGCTTACTTTTTTCCCTCAGTACTTCCTAGCTAACATCACTCACCATTCATCCACTTAGCTTGTATGATTAACCACAAATGGTCTTCATTGATGACAATATACATCTCCCCATGCAGTCGCAACAAATACTGTAAACGCTTCACTTAACAACAGTTAAAATGCATCTGTACTCTGCCCAGTGTATCCCGTTAGCATGTTGGAGTTGAATTTGTTTTAGTCAGGTGACTGTCATGAATGACTTCGCTTGTCGGGTCGTACGGTGCCTCGCAAAGTCAAAAAGCTCGAAGGACTGAAAATGCGATTGATACATGGGTTTACTGTCTTTGCATTTGAATTTGCAGCGGCTTTAAACGTTTATAACTGCTCTTGAGTATGATAAATAAATAATTCAATTAATTAATTTATAAACGCTATTTCAACCCTCAAACTCTAAAGCTAGCATTAACTAGGTATTAAGAAACCTTCAGCCAGCCCTTTAGTTTGCAAGTTGTCATGGTAACCGTATATGGATAGCTAGGTTATTGTAACGCTAGTGAACAACTGCGCTAAAAAGGGTATTAGCAGATAAAAGAAAATATAGACACTCGCAAAGGTAACTGTAAGTAACATTGAAGTAAAATATGATAATAATAATATTTTACATATTTGTCAGATTATGTAAACTACACATTCAAGCTATAAAACTGATTGCTTGAATGATTATTTGACTTTTATAATTTCTGTGTTCACAAAGTTTGAATGGCTACTTTAGTAGACAACTTAATTGAAGATGAAGCCGAAAGAGAGAGACTTCTTGCTAAGCCCACCTGCTTTATCATCGTTGGAAGACCGGTAATCTATATATAAAGTGCATATATATATATATATCTAAGTGAATATAAAGTGAAATTTAGCTAGGTTACGTATATACCTTTGTAGTTGTGTTTAAGTCCAAAAGACAGTATGCACAGTACTATCTGTCAGTGAATCAGATATGTATATATAAACAAAGAGGAAAGACCATGAATGCCATGCAGTTATAAAACACATTATGACGTTTAGTAGATCATCAAGTGTAAAATGTTTAGGCTATACTTAAAATTCCTGGACACAACTACTATAGAATTTTCCCTGTCTTAAGCTGCACTCCACAATCACAAACATCATGCAGAGAGTCCCCACCAAAGCTCAACAAGTGCATACCCAAACACTAGCAAATATTTTTTTCTAATGCTTCAATTCCTCTATATTCACTTCTTGGCAGGGTGTTGGCAAATCCACCTTGGCCAAAAAAATTGCAGAGTCCTGGAGGTGTATCCTTATTGATGGTGAGTACCCTTTTATGCCTTCATAAAAAAAATCTTTTTACCAATTCGAGATGTGTATGTAGATGAGTTTTCACATCTTTCAGATACCAATCTTCTCAACACACACATAAAAAATGAAACAAAAGAGGGCCTGGAGGTAAGTAAAATTTTCTGTATCATTTGAAAGGAAGCCCTTTGTTCCTGTTATGTGTTTTCTTTATGCTTTTATAGTCATTAGAAACTCTGAGTTGCATTCTGTTGAATATAGCTTTTGGACATCTTATCTGAGGGAAGAAGTGTACCAGAGAATGTGGTGCTGAAGCTGATTCTTGCCAGGCTTAACTCGCCAGATGTGGAGCACTATGGTAATAAATAAGACATCATTTAATTATGGCTATGCATGCAAAACAAACTTTTCAGTCACCAAATGTTCTTTGCAGATGAAAATAAGATGACTGATAGGTTAGACGATAAGCAATATGATAAGCTCTGCACTGTTTTGTAATTCACATGTTTTTGATACAGGTTATGTACTGAGCTGCCTGCCGTTCATGTCAGAAGAGCATCTGAAGATTAATGAGCAGATTGAACTGATCAAAAACCTCAAGCTAACGCCTGATATTATCATTAACATCAAGGTTACTGTCATTCTCTATTTGGAGTTGTCCATTGCATTTGATTTTTTTTCTTTTGCATAGTTTAATGTCGTAATTTTTAAATCTAATATCTCTTTAAGTTCATTTATGAAAAAGATCTGTCAGGATTTTACTGAATTGATTATAAATTAAATACTTTTACTTTTCACCAGTGTCCAGACAAGGACCTTGTCCAGAGGCTATCTGGTCTGAAGCAGGACCCAGAGACAGGGCAGTTTTATAACAGGGATCAGTGGCAGCGCGAAGAGGTGTACAACAAGGAGAAGAAGAGCAAGGAACAGGATGCAGAGGATGCGGAGGATGTGGAGGAGCAGGTATTACTTAAGGGAAAATAAGTGTTGTCACTTGATCATGTAATATGCATAATCATAGCTCTTTTAGTTCTCCCCCCTCCTTTTGTTTTGATGCTTGTAAGAAATATAATCCAATGACTGCTGTTTTGCTGCTTTTCCTCTTATTTCATTGTATCAACCAAAACAAACTGACAGAAATCACTGCCTTTAAAATCCTCTGCCTTCCCAATCCCAGCTGGTCAGATTTGAATGACAGAGCCACTGCATTTCTTGAGTAAATAAGAGAAAATAACGTCAGTCTGCAGGTATAGGACTTGCTATTCTTGCTGTCATGATAGCGCTGAGCAAACTAGCCTAAAGTACCAGAAGCAATACCCAGAAGCAGTTGTACTCATGTCTTGGTGTAGGAGCATAAATATTATAAGCTTTGCCATGTTTACCTATGCATTTATTGCCTAGTGAAATAAAGCTATTGATCTAGTTTCAGTCTTAACTGTAAGATTTAAGGGTGTTGAATGCTAATCAGAATTATATCCAGTAATTCTTAGACGATTAATATTTTTAGCACCTTCCTAGTTCCGTACATGTTTGGATTTCAGTTTTGCATTTTTAGGGGGCTGTTTTTATTTTAGCTAACCTTTTATTCCCCAGGTGATCAGTTGTTATCATAGCAAAGAAAAAACTGCCAAGCTTTGAGTTACATACTAGTAATTTTTTTTTTTCCTTAGGAAGAGGAACTCTCAAAGGATACCAATGACAGAATGGTGTGGACACCAGAGTATTTGGCTAAAAATGCTTTTGTTCGAATTAACATGTACAAGGATAACATGCTTAGACCACTAGAGGTGAGTTGCCCAGACCTAGACCTGTCATCAAAGTCACCCACTACTGACACACCAAAAATGTAGTTTGTTGTGTTATTTAAAAAAATCTTGAATAAAAATTCATAATTCCTTTAAACCTTGTATTTGAATTTACTTGGGAGATGCTGTTTTTGCTTAACCAGTATGTTTATATCATAAGGCAGTGAACATCCCAGATTTTTTTTGACTCAAAATGCAGTACTTAAGGGCTTTTGAAATTTAACTACAGACAAACTATATACTGTATTAATATTTATTGTTATTAAAAGAATAAATTACAAAAGAAAAACACAGAATGAAAAGTATATTAATTGATATTTTTTCAGGACTACATGGCAAACCACAACCCTCTCTACCTTTTGGAGTTGGATGGAAATAATTCAACAGAAGAGTGGCACTTGGTAAAGACTAAAAAAAACTTCAACAAATAGTATTGGTGTTTTCCAGAAGTGTTGTCTCTGTAAGGTGTGTTTTTTGACATTTTGTACTTCTAGTCTGTTATGTCGCGTCTCGAAACTTTGGCTATAAATCGCGTCCCCGTTCCAGTCCTCCTCCACCAGACTGAGGATGAGGAAATGCAAGAGGACGTTAGCACGGTCTGGAAGTCTTCACATTTTATTTCAAAACACAATCAGTGAATGGGAACATGTACAAAATACTTGTATTTTGAATAACATGTGTACTACAACCATCCCAATAATCCTGATCCTAAGAATTAAGACTGGACTTGCTTTAATATTGAAACCATCTCTTTTTCAGGAGGACCTACTGAGAATTATGTCCTCTTACAGGATTATGGTCCCTGGCTTTAGGTGGAGAAGGAGCCGCTGGGGCAGAACTTGCCCTGTTGCTTTGAAAGAGGGCAAGGTCATTCCTGGCAAGCCACAATTTAGTGTGGGGTGAGCAGTCTTTTAAAAACTGTTTCCAGATGAGGATTCTATTGAGTAGCTATGTGAAAATGTTAAACAACTCTCATTCATTGTACAGATTCCAGGACAAACTGTACATCCTTTCGTCAGCGGAGGCACACCATAAATTTGTCACAAACCCTCGCCCTTACCTGTTACCTCCAATGCCGAGGTTACCCTGCAAAGTTTCAATCATTGGGCCTTCCCTTGCAGGGAAGACCACCTTATGTAAACTTCTAGCTCAGCACTATAACACAGCGGTAATTGACATGGAGGAACTGTTGCAGCCAGTTTTGGTCAAGGCTAAAGAGGAGAGGATTAATAAAATTAAAGAGGAGACAACACAGGCTGCTATAGACAAAATCAAAATGAAGATGAAGGAAGATGGACAAAATTCAGGTAAGCTGAACCTTGTTGGTATTTTTTTTTCTATAATCACATGTAGAATTACATTTGATAAACTGTGACTGACAATAATATGTTTTTGCAATAACAGTAATGCCATGTACCATGGCATAATAACTTGTCTGAGCACTATATACTATTAGGAGTGTAGCTTCTATATATATGTATGTAATAGTCCTCCAACAAACTGTATGATATAAAGCAATATTTGTACCTATTGCTGAACAAGTGACTGATAATGTCATACACAGAATTAATGTGAAGGTAAGATGTGAAAATACTTTCTTATAAACCATATGTATCATAGATATGTGAAAAGGAAAGTGCACCCTCTTTCAGTTTCATGGTTTAACATATCAGGACATAATTAAACAATATTCTGGTTGTTGTTGTGTTATGTTGTTCTAATATTTTGAAGCATACTGAACAACAGTATATTTGTATGAAAGAGGATCTTATTTGTTCTGATGTTTTTAAGTGACAGAGGATCATCCACTGGTGCAAGCCATGGTGCTCAGTGCTGTGCAGCAAGCAAAGCAATCAAGTACTACTTATTTTGGCTTGTATGCTGAGATACTAGAGAAGCGTATAAAAGAGGTACGTTAAAGATTTAAACCCAGGTGGGAGATTTACACCGACTTCTCAGTCTTAAGCAGTTAGCATGCATACACGTTCATATATTTGAATGATTAATGACACACAACAGGATTTTTCTGCAACTTTGTTTGGCATTGTTAGATTTTTTTAATTTGTATAAAATCATTGACTTACATCGCACAACACCCAACACTAAATCACGCATACAGGGACATGACACTTAGACAGACACATGCATAAAGTAAATATAACTTACCTGATAAAA